AATATTGTTTATAGCTTAAGCTTCTCGCAAAACATGGCTAAGTAGCAAAGAAGTTGTCGGGAAATTGTTTTTGCTATTATCCTTGATCTTTTATGAGAATAAATACGATTTTTTCAAATTAAATAATAAATCAAGTTAGTAAGCTAAAGCTTAAGAAACGGATTTACTAATCGACGCAAAGATCCCGGGTAGTATAAATAACAAGCTTCGGAAAAAATGTTGATAATGTTCCTGGCTAAAAACAAATAAAATGACGGGATGCAATCATCTTTTTGATCTAGAGAAAAAGCAGATATTGTGCGATCGTACTGCTCGTTCACTTTCCCGGTGTTTCATTCTTCACGGCGCTGTGGCACACAATAATTTATTCGCGGCAAAACGACAACAACCAGTAACGGAGTTTGCTCGCAATTCATCGGAAACGGCTCTTTTTTACAACTTTTACGGCAACTTTAGGCTCTTTGCGTCATCGAAATTTTTCGGCTGCGTCCCGGGACCCGCAGTCAGCAAAAATTCTTTTATCCGGCCAAAACGACCATAATCAATGATGCGGCAATTGAAGATCAGCGACGCTCCATCTTCGCGAACAGCTTTGATGCTCGTTGTGGGGATTGGTGCGCTCGGATTAGGTGTGTATCGCCCGAGGTCTATATGAACCTTCACAAAGTCGAGGCTCGCCGTTCCGGCTTTCCATTCAGCAATCAAAGTTTTAAGGTATTTCCGGACAGCCGTTGCATCCGCTCTATTTAGACAGATCTCCAGCTGTGGACATCGCAACGCAGTGGCCGACTCTAGGTCATCCGTATAAATTAGCAGATCTTGGACATGGTCGTTCACGAATCGCACCAACGTCGGCGTCACGCTTGAAGCATCCATCGTAACAAATTTGTATTTCCCGCTCTTCGTCTTTCTGTCGTTTAGCAGATTAATTGGGTTGGCAATTGGGCCGTCCAGCCAGAACCTTGTATTTTCCGGTAGTCCCGGAGCATCGTCCAGGTACAGGCCAGAAGGTCGGGACATCGAACGAGTTGGACCGTGTTCGCGGATCACCAGAGCCTCAAAAGCCCATTGAAAGTGTGCTTCATATCCGATTCGGTTGGTGGTAGAGTTTTCGGCAATCTTCGCCATGTATCGACAGGTTCGGGAGAAGCGGAAACGTGTGTAGACGTCCATTCCATTGATATATTCCGCCAAATTGCTATGGAAGGTATAGGGCAGATCCAGAAAGTCCATGGCGTATTTCACTGAAAAGGCAAAGGATTGGATTCTGAAGTAGGAGGTGAAGTAATGGACAAGTTTTATAGAGAACGGGGGGAAATGAGCGGAAAATTAAAAAGCGCCACTGATGGAAAATGGATCGATCAAGGCATCTGCCAACTTTGAAATGAGTAGGTAGAACATTATTGCCTCCGGCGCCCTTTTCGTAAGAGCGTCTGACCTCTAATGAAAAGTGTGTAATGTGTAAATTGAAACAGCATGAATGGATTTGGGCTAGAATACGAAAGACTAAGGAAACAGGAGAAGACTTTTCCTTTAGAATTTAAAATTATTCCTTTATAAACTTGGTCGACAAGACTTTAGAGCGAAGAAAGCGAGCCTTTTCTGGGTCAACTGGAACCAAAAAGGGCTGGAACTTGTGAAATCCAGCTTGCCGGCAAATTTCGAAACCAGATGTCGAATCAGCGAAAAATTCTGCGGAAGAGAGGCTAGGTCATAACTGAAATTTCCTGTACTGCCCTGTGATTTTTAGTATTGCAGTACACAATCATTTATTGACGCAAAAATGACAACAACCAGTAAAAGGGTTTTCTCGCAATTCTTCGGAAACGGCTTCCGTGTTTTAGGCTCTTTGAGTCCTCGAAATTTTTCGGTTGGCTCCTGGGACTCACGGTCAGCGACAATATTTTCATCCAGCCAAGGCCACCACCAGCAATCTTGCAACTAAAGATCAGCGACGCTCCATCTTCGCGAACAGCTTCGATGCTCGTTGTGGGGATTTGTGCGCTCGGATTAGGTGTGTATCGCCCGATGTCTATATGAACCTTCACAAAGTCGAAGCTCGCCGTTCCGGCTTTCCACTCAGCAATCAAAGTTTTAAAGTATTTCTGGACTGCCGTTACATCCGCTCTATTTAGACAGATCTGCAGCTGTGGACATCGCAGCGCAGTGGCCGACTCTAGGTCATCCGTATAAATTATTAGGTTCTTGGACATGGTCGTTCACGAATCGCACCAACAATGGCGTCACGGTTGAAGCATCCATCGTAATAGATTTGTATTTTCCGCTCTTCGTCTTTCTGTCGTTTAGCAGATTAAGTGAGTTGGCAATTGGGCCGCCCAGCCAGAACCTTGTATTTTTCGGCAGTCCCGGAGCATCGTCCAGGTAGAGGGCCAATGAACGGGGAATGTGCAATGGGCGTTCCGGGCCGAGTTCCCAGATATTTAGGGTCTCAAGAGTGAATCCAAGACTCCAAATATATGCTTCATAACGTATGCGGTTGCTGGCCGATTTTTCAGTCAACCGCTCTAGATACCGACAGGTTCGGGAGAAGCGGAAACGGGTGTAGACGTCCATTCCGTCGATGTATTCTGCCAACTTGCTATGGAAGGTGTAGGGTAAGTGCAGAAAGTCCATGGCGTATTGACCTGAAAAGGAAAGGATTTGGAATCTGGGGTAGCGGTCAGGTATGGTAGCGGTTTTTTATGGAGAACTGGGCGAAGGTCAGGAAAACTAGATAAAGTTTGTTGTTTGGCGGGTGGGTCAAAAAGGTCCCTTACAAAGGGCGAATCGATTAAGCCATCTGTCGTCTTCGAAATTTTGGATGAACTGGGTTGCCTCGGGGGTCGTTTTGGTGAGAGCGTTAAAAGCCTACCAGTGCGGCGAGCATTTGAATACATTAGAACATCGCTGATACCGCCTCTCCTTGTAACACCATCCCAAACAAGTTTCCGAAAAAACTCTTTTTTAGTAAATTTTAGTTCCAAATTTTAATTTTAGTGTTTTAATTAATTTTTTAATTTGTTAGCTCTCACTAGCAATCACTAGCCCTAAATGAAATTGACTATTTGTTTCTTATGATGTACGCTTTTCCAAAAATTGTCTTTTATTTATTGAATCGGAAGCCACACAACTCAGGTTTCAAAAAGTCGCATAAGCATTTAGCAGGTAGCACCCAGATCCAGCGTAGGTGACCTTCAGCATCATCCCATCCTCCCGGAAGTGTTCCCTCCCGAAATTGATCTCGCTCCCGGTCGGCGCTCCAAAAATGGCGCCATCGCTAAGCTGGCGGAGCCCCGCTCTCCATTCTTCAATCAACGTCTCCACGAGGAGCACGAACATTTCCTGATGCTGCTCAGGGGAGTAGGAAGCGGAATTTTTGGCAGCGCAGTGTGCTCATCGATTCCGGATCGCCGGTCCAGCCGACACGCTCGACGTGGTTGTTCATGAACCTGACGAGCTCGGGGCTTAAATTCCGAACCTTGAGCTCGACACTTCGATATTTTCCGCTTGGCGCCTTGAAAGTGGCGAGTAGCGGGATTGGGTCCGAGTTGGAGCCGTTCAGCCACAATCTCGAGTTCTTTGGGAGATGAGCAGCTTCTGGGATCTCGTCGAAGGTTGGACCGGACAGCCGGAAAGGGATCTCAGCCTTGTCGTCACCGCGGCCCTGAATCAGCAGTCCGCGAGCGCTTCCGTTAAAAATAGCGATGTCATAGCCAGGTTGGGCGACTGGGCACTTTTCGGTCAAGTCCCAAAAATATCGACAGGTTCGGGAGAAGCGGAAGCGGGTGCGGGGGTCGGTGCGGCACAACAGCTCGACGACGCGCTTGTGGAACTCTTGGGAGAGGATCATGAGCTCCATTGATGTGTTTCTCTGAAAATCGCAAGTTAGCTTTAAGGTATCGGCTCGAGGACGAAGCATCAAAGGGTATAATTTTTATAAAGAAATGATAGATAGAAAGAGAGAGCGAGAGTGAGAGATCGAGAAAGATAGAGAGCGTGTGTGAGATAGATAGAGAGGCTAAAGTGAGATAGAGAGCGCGAGAGATATGGGTGAGAGAAAGAGAGTGAGCGAGAGAGTAGCGAGAAAATAATGAAAAGGTGAATTAACGGGAGCAGAGCACAAATAGGCTGTGGATGCGATATGCACCGAAAACCTGGAAGAAAGGTCTGACGGAATTTGTTGAGCTACGAAGTGCAAATCTATATTGATTGAACGAACCTACGATACCTAAAAATAGCATCTGCCAAGGTCCTTAGATCCAATTGTGTGCATGCATTAAAAGTACGATCAAGTCGAGAATTATGCGCGCTAATATCAAGTTTGCGACGTCCACACTCGTGATGTTTGCTCTTTCAAAGGGCATGCTCCCCCCCACCCCCGCCCAAAAAACCCGGGCGAAAAAAGAAGCGAAGGGTAGGAAGAAAAAGGGGGGGAGGGAACAAGGGAAAAAAAAAAAAAAAATACCATCAAAGGGGAAAAAAAAAGAGGAAAACAAGGAAAATGGAGACAAAAAAGAAAACCCCGTTTTTAGATGACTATGTGTACCTCTGTCTCTCTGTCACTCTTTCAACCTCTCTCGCTCGCTCTCTCTCTCGCTCTCTCTCTCCCTTTTTCCCTGTCCCTCTTTGTGTCTACCTCTCCCAGACTCTCTCTCTTCTCTCTCTCTCCTCTCTCTCTCTCTCTCTCTCTCTCTGCCTCGCTCTTCTCTTACGTTCACTCGCTACATTCGCTTACGCTATAAGTTACTTATCCTTATACTTTGTAGTTTCGAAGAATAAGGAAATCAAGGAAAATTTTTAACAGTAACTTATATTTAAATTTTTCTCGAACACAGGGTTTATGGCAATGATGGGAACAACGGCAAACAAGGCCAGACAAGAGCATCAAGAGATACGTGAGACAAACCCGATAAAAATAGAAATTAGATTCCTTAACAAAAAAATTGCATTTCCAGCCGAATGCATTTCAAACAGCGGCTTCTTTCGCAACAAAATTATCAAAATCTTTGAGAAGTTCCGAGACGCGTTGTCTCCTCCAAAAGGTAATTTCCATGGTGATTGACACGAACTCGGAGTGTCCTCTCGCCGTTCATATACACATGGTCTCCCTGCAGCTTTCCCCGGAATTCCGGGTCCGTGTCCATCTTCGGGTTGCGGATGACGCCCTTGATGATTCGTCGGTTTCCAGCCTGCCATTGGGCGATCATCGACCAAACTATATGTTCCCTTCGACGACCTAATGCCGTAATGTAGAAGACCGGGCAGTAGAGCCCGGTCACCCCGTTGACGTCGCCGGTGCTGAGCTTGTGGACACGAGTGTTGATGAACCGCAGCAACCTGGGCGTCAGCGTCCGTACGCGCAGTAAGATGTGCGTGTACTTGCCATCCGCTGTCTGAAAAGGGAAGTGGCTTTCTTCCATGTCGCAAACCGCTATGAACATACCGTATTTCCTCTAATATTCCTAACCTCTAGTAGATTATACGATCCGCATCGGATAGAAGGGGGGCGGAACAAACGGGGCACTCAAAGTTTTTTATGATAAAAGTAGTGTTGGACAGACACCTTCAAAGAGAGCACCCCGGGGTGCTTTTTCTTCCACCCTGGGAAGTTTCTTTATTTTCACCCCGGGGTGCTCTAAAAAGCACCCCGGTAGCTGTGTGAAACCACCCCGGGTGCCCCCAAAAGCACCCCGGGTTGGAAAAGAAAGCACCCCGGTCGAGAGAGGGGTGCTCTGGAAAGCACCCCGCCCCCCAGTGGGGTGCTCCAGAAAGGCCCCAGTCCCCCTTGGGGTGCTCCAGAAAGCACCCCGTGCTGGAAGCACCCCAGGGGTGCCTTTGGGGTGCTCTGTGGGTGTGTCTGGGGTGCTTGCCAATGACCGGCAATATATGAACTAGACTATTTTGATCGAATCAGGAGATGAACATCATTTTCGAGCAGTTCACACAACTCGGCGCCAACGATTGCAACTCATTTGGGGGTCGTTTGGTAGCATTTCTTCGAGGTTGTTGAACACGGCGGACGATTTCGAGACGTTTTTTTCTAACCGCTCTAGCAGCCTGGGCAAAGCTGCTCGTGAGCTCAAACTTGTCCGGCAGATAGAACTTTTCGCGCTCTTTCGAATGGTGCCCTTCGCGATCCAGGATTCGCAGTGCAAATCGAGATATGATGGTTTTAGTGCGGCGACAACTTCGACAGGTACACCTTTCGGCACTAAAACGCTCCCCTCTCTGTCCCCCGACGGTTTTGGAGAACGGCAAGTATACCGTTGGAAAGACCGTTCAAAATGCAACCTTCTCAACGGCTTGAAGCCATTCTATCAAGCTTCTTTAGGCTGCTAGAGCGGTTAGGAAAAACGTCTCGAAATCGTCCGCCGTGTTCAACAACCTCGAAGAAATGCTACCAAACAACCCCCAAATGAGTTGCAATCGAATTGGCGCCGAGTTGTGTGAACTGCTCGAAAACTCTAGTTCATATATTGCGGTCATTGGCAAAAAGCACCCCAGACAGCACCCCACAGAGCACCCCAAAAGGCACCCCTGGAGTGTCCGAAAGCACCCTAGAAGCTTTGAGCACCCTGGGGGGCTGGGGTGCTTTCTGAGCACCCTCCCACTGGGGGCGGGGTAGCCTCCAGAGCACCCCTCTCTCGGCCGGGGTGCTTTTCCACCCCGGGGTGCTTTTTGGGGCACCCCGGGTGAGCGAGCACCCCTTGGGTGCTTAAGAGCACCCCGGGGTGGAAAAATAAAGCACCCTGGGTGGGGAAAAAGCACCCCCTGGGTGTCTCTTTGGGGTGCTGTCCAACACTAGATAAAAGTATTTTTAAATATGCTTTTTTTCGGGCTGTAAAAAAGCTCTTAGTATATTTTTTGGCCCACTATCGAATGGCATTTTCAAAATATCAAAAACATTCAAAACACCGAAAATATGTTCCCCCCGCCGTTATCTTATGTGGTGCCCATAGTTTTCAAAAATAGTTTTTAGGCTATAAAATTTTATAATACATTTTTTCACGTTGTAAAAAAAATCTCTTAGTATATTTTTTATATTATTATTTTATTATCGAAAAAGTCAAAAATTTGGCTTCCCCCCGCTATCCTATGTGGTGTCCAGTGATTTTGATAAATTTTTGTCTATTCGATAAAAAATTTCCATTACATTTTTTCGGGCTGAAATTAATTCTCTTCGTATATTTTTTGACGTTCTATCGAATGGCGCTCACGAAATCCGACAGTACCTGCAAATTTCATAATAATGAATGCCACCCGTTATTTATTCCCCCCCCGCTATCCTATGGGTACCCATTATACCCCAAAAAATTGATTTCGAAGTTGGCTTTAAAGGGCTAGTTCAGCCAATAACGAATTAAAAAAAGGAATTTTCACGGCCAGCAGTCGAACTTTCTCTGCCTTTTTGTGTTTGCGCCTCTCTCAACCCCCGCTATCTAATAGCTGTCGTAATGAGGAACTATACATGCGTGCTATCCCTGCGTCTACAGGGTGTCTCAGGATTATCCGGACAAAACGAAATAGACATTTTTTTCGTCCTTTTCCGCTGTTTTCTGCCAACCTAATGTATTTCATATGAGTATTTGAGGCGTTTTCAATGTTCTGTGCAAAAAAAATTCTTAGAAGACGCATTAATATATTTAGAATCAAGTGAAGAACGCGGTAAGATTTTTCACCTCTTAAATACCACGAAACTTGGAGCAAAGATTCAAAAAGTGTTCCGACGTCCTTCTGGACAAGATGTGACGTTTTCTGGCGAAACGGACCTGTTTGCGCCAAAGTTTGTTCATTTCAATGAATATTTTCTAATTTAATATCAATTTCCTATGCATTGCTGATAAGGGTGGTTTGAAGCTTGCTCGTGCTCAAGCTCCACAGAAATGAAAGTTAACTTGGTCTAAATTGCTCGTGCATCATTGTTACTGTAGCTATTTATATTTTTATCATTTTAAAAGTATCTTATCGGGTTTTTTAGGGTTACGCCGGGCCAAGTCATGTAAGGTAAATACGGCGGCGCGTGACCTCATTTCATCTTTTTTGCTCGCTGATTTTTTCCTAGAGTCAACTTAGCATTTTTGGGTCGAGCATAGCATGGACTTATCGTTTCCGACCTCTTCCTGTGGTTTCTTCGTTATTCCGGTTATATCGAAGCTTTTTATAGCGTCGGAAACAGTACGGGTTTTGAGCGTTTGCCAGATGGGAGAAATTAGGTTCAAACTTCTCCAATTTTTTACGAAGCGAGATGTTGGAACCACGCGCAATTTTCTTTGTCAACGCCTCGAAAATACCTCAACGATTGATAGAAACTACGCGGTGTGCGCATAAAACAGGAAAAAAATAGTAAGAAATGGCATTGAAAGTTTGTCCGGATAATCCTGAGACACCCTGTATAGTGTCCCAAGGTACCCGCCCAAGCTCTAAAGGTTGAACTGGCCTTTATTTTACATTATTGTAGGCTCAAATTCAAACACTGAGTATATTTTTCGACGCTCTATCGAATGGCGTTGCAAAAATCCCGACAAAATAGCGAAAATGCCGAAAACTTTGAGACCCCTCGGCCGTGAGTGGTTAAAGTAAAGTCTTGCCTAAATTCTCTACCGATTGATCTATGCTACGTAGCGGTTTGAGAAGTGGGTCAAATATGATTACCTTGCAAGCCGAATCCAGCCTCTTGACATCACTTGTTTTTATGGGCCAAAACGTGGTCCATTGGGGTAGAGCTGGGTGCCGAATGCCTACGGAGTTTGACGTGGCTTCGGGGAATTTGTAGTTCCGGAATGTCAAGCAGTCCGCGCCACGTCCTTGGATAATTAGCGAATGACAGGTTTCGTCTCCGGATGCAAAGTAGGCATCATAATCGCCTCCACTCTCCACGAGATTCCATAAGTAACGACAAGTCATCGAGTAGCCCTGACGGGTATGCGGATCCGCCCCGGCCATGAAGTGCGCCAGACGTAGATGAAAAAGATGGGGCAATTGGAGGAACTCCATGAGGACAGCCCTGAAAATGGTGTTGAGGACAAGGAATAAAGTAAGAAAAACACGGAAAATTCCAATACAATTTAATTCCAGCAATAAAGTAAGGTTCTTTAGCATTATCGGGGGGACGAACTTTTTCCTATAGTTTTAGAAATACCTTTTAGGGTAATATTAAATGTCTGCAAAGATTTTTTACTTAATTTAATTATTTTTATAAGTGGAAAAGCAACCACAAAACTTAAAAATGTTTTTAGTAGAAATTTTGATAAAAAATTGGTCAAAATTCGTCGAAAATTCAATCTTTTTTTTGAAATTTTCTGCCCCGAGCCAGCCCTAAGGGGAAGAGGCCCTCCGGTCCCTTCTTCCCACCGGTAGACGTGGCGCAGTGGCTAGAGCGTCGGTCTGCCAAACTTTTTTTGCTTCGGGTTGCTAGTTCGATTCCGTTATTGGTAATTACTTTTGCTTTTTGTTTTGTAAAAACACTTTTGTGACTTTCAGAGCGTTTTAAAAATCAGAATAATTGAAATTGGCCTTCACATTCCAAGAGAAAATTTTGACCAAAGGAATGTCCTGATTCCTTCTCCTAGCCCAACGTGGCTAATGCCTCCACAATGACCCAGAAATGCCTAAAAGGTGTGGAAATATCATCAAGGTTCAAAACTCAAAAGGAAACACGCATAAAAGAACCGAACCTTCAACCAAAGGCAAAAAGAAACTTCGTAGGGAGATGCGTTAACCGCTGCGCCATCGGCGATGCTGGGCGAGCGCGCACCCGTGGGCTCTTGACCTAGGGCACCCGGGCGCCTCTATGGCGTGAGCAACCGAGAAACTATGGGATTTTCGCATTTTAGTTTTTTTAATTTTATAAAACCAGGAAAAGCCATTTTGCAAAAACGAACGCCCAGAAGTTGTTCAGAATTGAATTCTCTATCGAATGAGCTAGGTCTCGAAGGGATTTACCGATGACACTCAAAAGGCACTCCTTGTTAGGATTAGTACAAAATGAAAATCGAACCCTTAATAAACTTGGCACCCCGGTCACCCTGCCCACCCCCCTCCCCGATAACGAAAAAAATTTTTACCCCTTTGCTGAGTGAAACTGCTAGAAAAGAAGGCAATAATATGATGACGATGGCAAACCACCAGAAAATGCAGACGCGCATTGTATGTCGTAATTATTCTGCTGCTCTGTAGGCTCGGCCCCTGGCCAGGGGGTGGGGACCAATCGCTTTTTGTCCATCCGTACTACAATCCCGCCCTCCCTCCCTCCCACTCTCCACTCTCTCCCTCTTTCGCGCGCGCGCTCTCTCCCTCTACCTTCTCTCTCCGCCCATCTCAACGAATCCGATCATTCCGATGTTTCAGGAGATGCGTGAGATATGCTTGTACATAGAAATAGGTTTTGAATTTAATTTATTGCCACGATATTCCAGAAACGAAAACGTATCCTACTATATATAAAAAAATAGTGTCTGTGTGTGTCTGTGAGCATTTGCATGCGACTTCCGTCAGGTTGTTCCAGTAGTATCTCAATAAGGGGAGTAGTTAAGGGATATTTGATATGTCATTAGGCGCGTAATGGCCTGGGGATGACTGCACACCAACAAAATTTTTAGAAAGTCAGCGGTTTTTGACGCTAAAATTAAGTTTTTGTTGAAAAATCGAGCACGCTCTTTGTTAGGATACGCCGGAAGTTGCGGCAGCTTATATAAGCAAGAGAGGTTGCATTTACCATGTTTTGTCAGCGAAAATCGTGAGAATTATGCAAAGTGACGGATATCACGGGATCAAACGTTAAATCTAAGGATCAAACGATGAAACGATCAAACGTAACTATTGTAAAAGTCACTCGCTCTCAATAACTGCAATACGTCTGCAAGAAATTTCCCGAAATTGATAGACGCAGCCTCCAGAGATCTTGATCTGCAGTTTCCTGTCCCCTTCAGTGATGACACCATCTATTGCGTCACGCATGAATTCCGGAATATAGCTCGACTCGGCAACGCATTTACCGAAGACGATTCTTCGGCTACCGGTCCTCCACTCGGAAATCAGCGTCGTGAGAAGGCGCTCGGCACTGGCCGCGTCCTTCTCCTTGAGCCAAAAGCCGAATTCGAGGCATCGCAGCGTTAGCAACGAGTCTGCCTCGAGGAAACAGATGATTCTGTAGACAGAACGATTAATGAATCGAGCCAGGGGGGCAGTCAAGCGCAAGGCCCCCAGTAGTATTGCCCTTCACGATTTTTGAACGATTCGAGCGCGCTGAGGTTTTTGGGCCGCTGGTTCCCGCTCTGAAACCAGCATTTCCCGTTGGGCGGCAGAGTTGCACCAGGCTCATCCTCAAAGTAGGGCCCCTCCAGCCATTCAGAAACGACTTCCGCACTTCTTTGGATCAGCAGCGATTGCCAACCGCCACTGTGCTCCGGGAAGCTGAGATCATATGTCCACATACGCTCGGTCATCTGCCAGAAAAATCGGCATGTTTGGGAGTAGCGGAAGCGGGTGCGAACGTCCGCTTCTTCCAGGAGTTCGACGACGCGCTCGTGAAAATCGCGAGGCAGGCGGATGAAATCCATGAAGCGAGGATCTAAAAACGAGGATAAATTAGATAGGAATAGGTAGATAGCCAAACAAGGTGAGAAAATGTTGAAACTAGTAGAAATGGCAGCGTCCCGTACGATAGTGGTAATTCCCGCGAATGACCCGCACACTCTCAAAAACATCTGCTGGCACCAAGCCTGCGGCTATCAGTCTCTCTATCTCTCTCTCACTCTATGTCTCTCTCTCTCTCTATATATATATATATATATATATCTATCCATATATCTTTAATCGATCCTTCTCTCTCCCTCGTTTTCTCGCTGTCTCCCTCCGCTTCTCTCTTTCTTTTTTTCTCTCTCGGTCTCTCTCACTATAAGTCTCTATCTCTCTCACTCTCTCTATCTCTCTCTCTTTCTCTCAAGGACGCCCTCATGGCAGAGGTACTGAAGGCATAACGTGGAAATTAAAGCTTGTCCATGATCGAATTAGAATTCGATTTATTTCTGTGAAATGGTCAAAAAGAACAATTCATTTAAAAGTCAGTACAATCGGCCTTAAGTAGCTGCAACGCGTCTTCAAGAAACTTCCTGAAATCGATAGGCACAGCCTCCAAAGAACTCGATTTGCAGTTTCCTGTCCCCTTCTGTGATTACACCATCTATTGCGTCACTCATGAATTGCGGAATATAGCTCGACTCGACAAAGCATTCACCGAAGACGATCTGCCGGGTACCGGCCCTCCACTCGGAAATTAGCGTCGTAAAAAAGTGCTTGATTTTGGCATGGTCCTCCTCCTCGAACCTAAACCAGAATTGCGGGCATCGCAATGTGATCAACGAGTCCGCCTCGAGTGTACAGACGATTCTGTAGACATGAGCATTGATGAATCGAACTAAGGGAGCAGTCAATCGCCTGGTCAGCAGCCTGGCTTCTAGGTATTGTCCTTCGCGGGTTTTGAACGATTCAAGCGCGCTGAGGTTTCTGGGCAGCTGGTTCCCGCGCTGAAACCATAATCTCGAGTGAGGCGGTAAATTTACACCAGGCGCGTCCTCAAAGTAGGGCCCCTCGAGCTCTCCTGGCAGACATTTAGAAACGACTTCGGCACTCCGTTGGATCAGCAGCGATGGCCAACCGCCGTCAGTGTCCTTCGGGATGCAAATATCATATGTCCACATATGCTCGGTCATCTCCCAAAGAAATCGGCATGTTTGGGAGTAGCGGAAGCGGGTGCGGACGTCCGCTTCGTCCAGGAGTTCCAGGACTCGCTGATGAAAATCGCGAGGCATGCGGGTGAAATCCATGAAACGTGGATCTGAAAATAAGGATAGATGTTAGCTACTTTTCTAGAAAAGTTCTAAAGACAGCGAAAACGTGATAAAATTTGGAAGCGTGCTGGGAAGTGTCAGCCATCCAGGCGAGAGCGGTAATTCCCGCGAACTTGACCCGAAGATCCTCAAAAACATCTGCTTGCACGAGCGGTTTGCGACTATCGGTCTCCATCACTTTCGATATGTCTCTCTGTTTCTGTCTCTCTCTCTCTCTCGATTCCCCCTCTCTCTCCCCTCTCTCTCCACGTTCCTCAACTATGTGGGCCATTCCGGAGCTGTCAATAAAAGCATGAGATGTCGTTGGTAGATGCAAATAAGTTTTGAACTTCATTTATTCACAAGATAGTCAGAAACGAAAACGAATAGCTATTGTCAAAGCCACTCCGCTTTGATGAGCTGCAACGCGTCTTCAAGAAGCTTCCCGAAATTGATAGACGCAGCCTCCGAAGGACTCGATCTGCAGTTTCCTTTGCCCTTCTGTGATGACACCATTTAGTATTGCGTCACGCATGAATTCCGGAATATAGCTCGACTCGACAAAGCATTCACCGAAGATGATCTGCCAGGTGCCGGCCCTCCACTCGGAAACCAGCGTCGTAAAAAGTGCTTGAATTTTGACATGGTCCTTCTCCTCGAACTTAAAGCTGAATTCGGGGCATCGTAATGTGATCAACGAGTCCGCCTCGAGTGCACAGACGATTCTGTAGACATGAGCATTGATGAATCGAACTAAGGGAGCAGTCAATCGCTTGGTGATCAGCTTCGCTTTTAGATATTTTCCTTCGCGGGTTTTGAGCGCTTCAAGCGCGCTGAGGTTTCTGGGCAGCTGGTTCCCGCGCTGGAACCAGCATTTGGCGTTGGGTGCAGTCCTCTACCACTTTGGGCAAAAACCGGCGGGCGCTGGTCCCAAAAACGGTTCTGAGCGCTGGTCTAAGGGCCAGTAATATCGCATTTTTCGGCGCCTTCGGCGCCATTGATCACCCCCTGATTAAAGAAGGCCCCTACGTTATGTATTTTCGATGTGTTTGGATGTATTGTGAAATAAATATTTTTAATAAATTTTGTGTTGCATGTTATACCGTGGAAGAATCCAATTAAACTGAAGAGGATGATGGCGAAAACCGAGCGGAGAAAGTACATGGACGACAATTCCCTATAATTGATTCTTGCTAAACTTCCTATATATTCCTACAGACTACAGACGTATATATTCCTTCTACGTCAACGTCAGCTTCTGATTCATTCCAAATTTTATTTGACGGTTCCGACCGACGACGATGACGCTGCTGCCGATGACGTTCGCACTACAATTCTGGAATAAAGACGGTGGAATACTAAAAATCTTACATCATCCCCGCCTACACTTCTCAATTCTGCACCTGGAATTATTATTGAATCTCAAACTTCAACTGAAAAAGCGGCAAAAATTTAGAAATCGTTTGCTACTGCTGCTAATCAAATCCAGAAAAAAAATTTGGAGCCGTTTGGAGTATCGTTTCGGAAATTCCTACCCCGGAACTTAACGAAAACCAGTTAAATCCCGTACTCGGCGCTCTTCTGGGCGATTGCCCCCAAAGTCGTCCTCATGAATGTCCATGGTATCGTACACATTAGGTAAAAATATCTAAGCGATCGGATTGGTTTAAGGTACCCTCCGGGACCAGCGAATGTTTACCTTAAAAATCATCGACTTTGGGCATTGGACATGTTTTGGTCCCCGTTGACCCCTTAACCTGAACCGATCAGGACTAGGGTTGGCCTCATGATACTACAGAGTCTGCTTTGTCGGATCCCACAGCTATTGCCCCATTAGTCTCCTTAACCTCGGAGCTTGGGACCAGCGAATTTCGAATCTTTGGGCGGACCTTTCAGTTTCCTGCCTAAGTCTTACATTTCGGATTTTCGTCGCCTGTCCTTTCTCCTCCATAGAAAGCTTTTATTTCTCTTTATTTTGATATATAAATCATAAAATTCGGCCCCGAGTACGCGGAGCTACGGACCGGCGACACTTTGGGCGGGGTCCCTTTTCACACTTTTATTAAGGGTTTAGCCCCTAAAAAATCATAACTTTTCAATAATAGTTCCGATATTTTTGAAAATCGCACAGCATAATGGTCAAGACATATTAGACAATATGTAAAAATATCTAAGCGGTTGGAGCGATTTAAAGTACCCTTAGGGACCGCCGATACTTTGGGCATAACCCATTTGGCTCCTCTCACCTACCTTTCACGGACCCGAAGAGTGGCTTACAGAGCTCGGAACGTTTAGAAACTTTTACACATTGTATACGATAGCCTGCTAATCATGCTTAATAAATTTGGTGACGATAAAGCCAAGGACCGCAGCGATATGAATTTTGTGGTGCCAAACCCTTGATAAAGGTGTGAAAGGTAAACATTCGCTGGTCCCGGAGGGTACCTTAAACGAATCGGATCGCTTAGATATTCTTACCTAAGGTGTACGGTACCATGGACATTCATGAGGACGACTTTGGGGGCGATCCATGCAGAAACTGAAAAGTTATGAATTTTTAGGTGCCAAACCCTTAATAAAAGTGTGAAAAGGGACCCCGCCCAAAGTGTCGCCGGTCCGTAGCTCCGCGTACTCGGGGCCGAATTTTATGATTTATATATCAAAATAAAGAGAAATAAAAGCTTTCTATGGAGGAGACAGGACAGGCGACGAAAATCCGAAATGTAAGACTTAGGCAGGAAAAACTGAAAGGTCCGCCCAAAAGATTCGAAATTCGCTGGTCCCAAGCTCCGAGGTCATGAGACAATGGGGCAAATAGCTGTGGGATCCGACAAAGCAGACTCTGTAGTATCATGAGGCCAAATTTAGTCCTGATCGGTTCAGGTTAAGGGGGTCAACGGGGACCAAAACATGTCCAATGCCCAAAGTCGATGATTTTTAAGGTAAACATTCGCTGGTCCCGGAGGGTACCTTAAACCAATCCGATCGCTTAGATATTTTTACCTAATGTGTACGATACCATGGACATTCATGAGGACGACTTTGGGGGCAATCGCCCAGAAGAGCGCCGAGTACGGATTAACTGGTTTTCGTTAAGTTCCGGGGTAGGAATTTCCGAAACGATACTCCAAACGGCTCCAAATTTTTTTTCTGGATTTGATTAGCAGCAGTAGCAAACGATTTCTAAATTTTTGCCGCTTTTTCAGTTGAAGTTTGAGATTCAATAATAATTCCAGGTGCAGAATTGAGAAGTGTAGGCGGGGATGATGTAAGATTTTTAGTATTCCACCGTCTTTATTCCAGAATTGTAGTGCGAACGTCATCGGCAGCAGCGTCATCGTCGTCGGTCGGAACCGTCAAATAAAATTTGGAATGAATCAGAAGCTGACGTTGACGTAGAAGGAATATATACGTCTGTAGTCTGTAGGAATATATAGGAAGTTTAGCAAGAATCAATTATAGGGAATTGTCGTCCATGTACTTTCTCCGCTCGGTTTTCGCCATCATCCTCTTCAGTTTAATTGGATTCTTCCACGGTATAACATGCAACACAAAATTTATTAAAAATATTTATTTCACAATACAGACGATGAATGTTATCGGAAGGACAGAAAAAGTACGGGTTTACATGCCATAATGATACATTTTCCTCATTTTTCTCCGAATTCTGATCGCTTTTCAAAAAAATTTGCGCCGCTGTCGCGGCGCTGGTCTAACCCCCAGTCAGCCGCCGCCTGGCGGCGGTCCATTTGGGCACTTTTTCAAATCTCTAGCACACTGGTTGGGTGGCAGAGTTGCACCAGGCTCATCCTCAAAGTAGGGCCCTTCGAGTTCTCCTGGCAGCCATTCAGAAACGACTTCGGCACTCCGTTGGATAAGCAGCGATGGCCAACCGCCTCGGTGCTCCGGGAAGCAGATATCATATGCCCACATACGCTCGGTCATCTGCCAGAAAAATCGGCATGTTTGGGAGTAGCGGAAGCGGGTGCGAACGTCCGCTTCTTCCAGGAGTTCGACGACGCGCTCATGAAAATCGCGAGGCAGGCGGATGAAATCCATGAAGCGAGGATCTGAAAACTAGGATAAATTAGATAGGAGTAGGCAAACAGCCAAAAAAGTCAGAAAATTTTGAAGCTAGTTGAGAAATGTCAATGACCCGTGCGATAGCGGTAATTCCCACCGCTTGACGCGCACACTCTCAAAAACATCTGCTGGCACCAAGCCTTTTGCTGCCATCCGTCTCGGCTGTGTGTCTCTCTCTCTCTCTCTCTCTCTCTCTCTCTCTCTCTCTCTCTCTCTCTGTCCTCCTGTCTGTCTCTCTCTTGTTCTCTCTCTACCTATTTACTCCCTCTCTCCCTTTTTCTTTCGCTCTCTCTCTTTCTCTCTCTCCCTCTTTCTCTCTGGCTCTCGCTCTTTCTCTCCTTCCCTCTATCTCGCTCGGTCTCTATCGCACTCTCTCAATCGAGCTATCTCTCTCTCTCTTGCCGTTTTTCTCTGTTGTAAATTTCGTTGTCTTGCATTTTCACCGCCTTCAATTTCAAACCGAATAAAACTTTATTATGTCTGAGTGTAGGGGGAGTTGAGGGTAGCAGCGGTTGGGAGAGGGCACAAATTTTTGTCTTTGCATAAACGGGGGCTCTTTGCACCAAGCGATATGAGGCACACAACGCAAAATATCAACCTTACAAAAAGTTTCTACAAAAATTTGAATTTTACTCATTAACAGGGTCAAAAATACGGGCGGAGATCCACAAAAAGACGCAAAAAGACAGAAAAACATGCTAATATATACAAATAGGGTATTAAAATATCCAATTTATGATAAAATATAAAATTATTGCTGCCGGGAAGCTCATTTTGCGTGGGTTTTTTTTGAGAATTTCTAAGCTATCACAAAATCGATCCAATTTTTTAGGTTCATCGATACCCAGGGGTTTTTCAGGTGATAAAGTGCGAGAGGCGGGGATATGACGTAGATTTTGCATTTCGGGCATGGACATACACACATTATTAGACAAAATACATAGGTATAAACTTGATTTTCCAAAAAGCGTCTTTTCGGACTACGGTAGAGCCGGGCTATTTTCATTGCGTAAGCGCCACGTGGCGCCGATCGATCGAGCCGGTCGAGCAGAACGAGTCCTCGGAAGCGCCGCTGTCGATTAGCTAGAAAAACCCATAGGTTTATTAAATAGCTTTATATAATAAGCGCAGGGCCAAAAAAGCAAAAATGACAAATAGGGAAGCAAAACCCGGGTCCAAAGCAAAACGTTTAGGAGAAAGCCTATTTTTGAAAGATTTTTACCAATTTTTCATAGATCTGACGTGGGAAATTTTGCCAGTCGTCGAGGCTAAAATTGATCCTATTTTAAAAGATCTATATATTTGTTAAATATATCAATATCTAAATTTTATAGAAAACCTGATAAAAAGTGACAGTTTTCTAATCGGCGCCCTAGCTACCGTAACTTGGCCTGAGCTCGAGCGGTTATAGCTCTTTATAGTCCTTCAATCGTCAAGTTAAAAAAATCCGTGTTTTTGGGAAGTTATAACTACGCTATTTCGTGCCCTAACTACCGTGATCTCTGATTCTTGGTAATTTTTTGCTTTTTCTTTCGATACCGTACCTGTGTGGACGGGTCCTTCAACGGTGGCACGTCAGACATTTGCCGGCGCAGCTTCTCGTTCTCCATCATCAGCCGCTCGATCTCGCGCTGCTGCTTTTCGATGATGCTCGCCTGGAAAAATTACGGTACTAGTACTGCTCCAGACGCCGCTAGACTGCTAAAATTCAGTACAGTTCTCGGTCAAAATAGCTCAATTCTGGCTTAAACAGCATTTTTCACCCCTGCTACTTAGAAACGCTTGTTTTTTGCTCCAAGTTTTGATCCAATTCGGACAAAAAGAATGATAACAATGTCGTATTTCAATCTAATATGCTGCTCACCTGTGTCTGCTCGATCTGCGGCTTATTCCAGACCTCATCGGTCCACTTTTCGTTGTTATTGACCGGAACTGTCTCGTAGTCGGGGATCACTTGGGGTCGAGTGACGGCGGCTCCCATTCTTGGGTATCCGTTCGGGCTAATCTGCTAAAAAGAAGAGAGAGATAAGAGATAAGGGATAAGGTATGGTTTACATGCACTTACTGCTTAATTGCTACCAACGCAAGTCCAGCCCGATAATCCTGAGCTGCTCTAGGTATCCGCTAGCTACCCTTACCTGGTTCCTCTGTTGCCACGGGTTTGTCCTTAGATTCGTCCTTGGTAGCGAGCTCTTACAGCTTGATGACGTGCCCGAGATCGAGCTATTGGCGCCCGGGGAAAGTTCGTTGGGGTCTTGCACTTGGTAGCCCTGAAAAAAACAACCTTGGCTGCTTCAAAGCTAGAAATTTAGGAAACCGGCGTGGGTGGCGTGGGCGTTCAAAGTATCGCTGCGTAGTTACACCGTAGCTACGTGTTGCTCCTTTGTACACCCATACCCTGTGCTCGCCCTTCTATCCGGCCTAATCTCTGAAAACTTACCGGTGCCAGCCTGGAGTACTGTCCAGCTTGATCGTAGGTAGGCGGTGATGATCTCCTGTAGTTTGACGAGGCCTTCGGCACGCTCGGGGTGACAAAGGCCGGGCTGGCGATTGTCAGGGCTGAGGTCCGCTCGACAGGGGACGACGACGCGGAAGAGGTGTTATAGCTAAAACAGGTTCATAATAAACCTTAACCTTCTCTAAACTACCTGCTAGGATTATTGCTCTGGTAGCCACTGCTCGGCACAGCCTTTGCCGACCCGTTGCTGCTCCCCGGCTCGATGATGTGGCCGTCGCGGCGTTTGGTGCGACGGCTGAGGTGGGGCTACAAAGGGTGCAATTTAATGTCAAGGTAAGTTTTCAACATTCATTTACTTTTTACGTTGTATTTTGTTATACTTTAAACCCTCCACTCACCTCATTTTCACTATCGCTATCATCCCTCGCCTCACTCAACGAGCTCGACGCGGTGTTGGTGCTTGTTCGCGAGCTTGTGGTTGCGTCATCAACTCTGAACGTGTTTATTCGTATAGATAATTCTGCAGATTACAAAAACATGGATTAAATGAGTTAAAAAGTCGATAAAATTTGCGAAAAATTTCAAAACAAGGTCTTGTCTTTCACCTCCGGCTTTTTCGCCTAAAAATGGACCTAATTATTTTGGTTCTGCCTCGAAGTTCAAGAAAAGAGAGAGAGAGAGAGAGAGAGAGAGAGAGAGAGAAAGAGAGAGAGACGGAGCGAGCGAGACAGAGAGAGCAAGAGAGAGGGAGAGAGATTCAAACTTACCGGTAAGTGTCAGCCCTCGGCGTGGTCCTCGGCTGCTTCCGATTCTGCTGAACATGGAGGCCAGCCTGCCGCACGGCCAAAGACTCGTTCAGGGCCTCGTTGAAAACTGTGCCCATCACATAGTCGTCAGCAGTATGCAAGTGCTTGGCCGGCTGCGCCCTGGAGATGATCGCCTGGCCGTTGTGGGGCGGCGAGTAGACGGGCAGGTTTTGGTTTCTGGAGCCACTGAAAATTTTTGGGATTACTCCATTCAAAAAGTGCGGCTTTGGCTTAAAGGGATGGTGACATCAAGCCAAAAACTCACCGGAAGACCGAGTTGTTATCGTAGTCGCTGAGCGAATTGTTCAGCGTCGCGGTGGAGCGCCTCTTGCAGTCATTCAGGTCGTCGAGGATCTGGCGAAGGTCGACAACACGACGATCCTTTTCGGCGGCTTTCTTCTCGACCTCAGCGGTCCAGACCTGGAAATTTAAGGTATGTCTGACGCACCGTATCATATCAAACTCCTACACCTCCAGAACCCACCTCATCCAAATAACTCGCCAACAGGCTCAACTCCTTGCCCTCGTCCACAAAGTACTCGCACTCGCTGCTCTGGCCGGCCCGCTGAGAGACGCGCATCAGGTAGTCGTGCATGTTCTCCCACTCGCGCTCGACAAACTCGTTCATAAACTCCATGTACGACTCCTTGCCGCCGAACTTGGTGAAGTTGGCGAGGTTCTGGAGCGTCTTGGCGATGAGCGTCAAGTTGCGGCTGGCCTTCGGGGTCGGATACTCCGCCACCAAGTCGAAGAGACTTGGGCTGAGGATGGCGGGGCAAAGATAGCGCAAGAAAATGCACGACGACACCAGATTGTCGGCCATGTCTCTCCTTCCATTTAGGTCCAAACGTTCCCGAATAGTTCGGAAGACTTCACGGAGTTCCAGCGGGAAGTTGGCGGTCGAGTTCATGATCTTTCCCCAGGCCGTCTCCACGTGAAGCATGAGATTGGCACGGTGACGTTCCAGAAGGGAGTTCGAGGCTCCAGGGAGCTTGAGAGGGTCGACCTCGCAGTCCTCATCCCCATCCAGAAGCTGGCGGATGAAGTCGGCGAGCGTCTTCTTGAGGTAGTCCTCCGCCACGAGCTTCATGAACGCCTCCATCGACTTGGTGGCCAAGGAGTTTCCGCGGAACATGAGGTGCTCATTTTCGAGGAGTTGGACCTCGTCCATGACGACTTCACAGAAGAATTGGGGTGCAAGGCGTTTTCGGTGCATGATGCGGACGAGGGCCGTGGCGACGTCTTCCTGGAACGAGTGGTATGGAAAGGTGTATTACGGTGTTATAGGAAGTAGCGAGAGCGAGAGAGAGAGAGCGAAAGAGAAGAGAGAGGTTGGAAGAGAGAATGAGAGTGAGTTAGAGACAGCTAAAGGCTATAGAGAGCAAGACACAGAGACAGTGGAAGCGAGGGAGAGAGTGAGCGAGAGAGCGAGAAAGAGAGAGAGAGAGAGAGAGAGAGAGAGAGAGAGAGAGAGGGAAGGAGGAAGGGAGGAAAGCAAAAAAATTTTAATTAAATAAATCTCTTGGATACATACCTTTGCCTTAACACCCAACACCGGCTCGAGTTGCTGGCACAACGGCAGGTAGTTCTTCTTGTACATCAGGAAGTTCAGCAGCTCATCGTAGGCATGCAGGGGTAGAATCTCAACCTGCTGCCATCTGGCCTTAATTCTGATGGCCGGCTGCTCTTCCCGCGAGCCAGATTTGCTCTTTGACGATCCCTCGGCGGCTTGGGTGACTGTGTACCTAAATTAAATAATAAAACTTGGGTTTAAAGTTTATTGGATGCATACTTTTACGGGTTACTACGGCTAAGGTTTTTTACGCTTATTAACAACATATACCTCCAAAAAACCATACATTTCCGCACACTTTTTCCGGGTGTACCCCCCCCCCTTGGTATCAATCAGGGCAGCTCGACCTTGAATTTTTTCTGGGGGAAGACTTGAGCGCGCAAGTTAGCCCCCACTCTCGTCTTGTCACTCCAATTTTTTTGCGGGTTTGACAAATTTCGAGACACCGAAATTTTCGGGGGACATCAAATTCGTGGATTTTGATTGATTTTAGGGTTTTTGGATGTCTAAAATCATCAAAAATTAACTGAAAAAATGGTTATTAAGCTAGATATATTGAAGACACATTCATTTAATCAATAATCTGGTATATAACGCCATTTATTAAGTGATAATCAACCCTCTACCTTCCATGCGTCCCAAACATGGCCGTCAGGTGGTCGGCTTTGGCCTCTTTAGCGCGAAGCCCCAAAAACGGGGCTGTGCACTTGGCGAGCGACACGAAATTATCGTAAAAAGAGTGTCGCTGTATCTTCGGATCCTGATCATAGCTCATCAGGCTGATGTCGTCATGAGAGGCTATCATCATCTTAAGCCGGAATGGGGGCATGTTTAGAATGGAGGAATTAGAATTTGAGTGAGCGTGTGAAAAAATGAGGTACTTTAAGCTTTTATAGTCAGAGCAAAAATGAAATGAGATAAAGAAGGAAATGACACATTTTAACGTAAATCCATGATATCCTATCAAAGAGGATTAATTTGATTAATTTAAACAATTTTTGAGTGGAATGAGCAACTCTTAGCTTAAAATTCGAAATCCTAGGATACGCCTTATAACGTAAGGTATGAATCGACCCTAAATCCTTCGATCAACAAACAAAACAGCCCATATTTTTTTGAAAATATTTACTGGGGGTAAATTCAAATAAATACGCTGCTATCTGACCGGGCTGGTGAATCAGCTACGCTCTTGAAAAAAGATAGCGGCTAGGCGCCAAAATCCGAAAGGTCAAACCCAATTTTGTGGACAGAAATAGAGACGTTAAAAAGCGGATCTTTCCAACGTTCGTAGCGTGGGTGGATGGGTAGAAATATGCAAATTACGAGAGAGAGAGAGAGGGAGAGAGAGTGAGAGACCGAGAAGTTTCCCAAAAACCCGTTAGAATTTGCGTAGGAGTTGTGAAAAAAGGCAAGAGAAAGAGCCGAAGGTTGTGTAATAGGAAGGTGTAGAAAGAATCGGATCAAGGCAAAAAGAAGCCAGAAATGAACCTCAACTCGGTGGGCAATTTTCGAATCACTCCAGCAGCGGGGTGGTAATCGGCAGCACAGTGGAATTTCAATGGGAAATACCGGTTGAAGAGGTGGTGAGCAAAAGGAGATGGAGGACGAGGAGTGAATTGGGAAAGGTCACAAAACATGGGAAAACTTCCTAGACGTGGGGAGAAGGCATTTTTGGTTCTTAGACCCTATTTACTAACAAAATAAAAGCGATCAAATAATCAAAAAATTTTCAAAAATTAGCGCTTTAAAATAGATGGTTCAAGTCTTTTCGAGAACCCCCCAAAAGGCGTTTTTTTCTCCCCCATTTTAACGTACAAAGAGCGCTAAACGTCAGAATTCGAAACTGAGCGTTTTCTAGCAATTGATAACGCGTATTTTTACCAAAACCAACCGTTCATACGCCTCAATATGCCAGGCTCTTCTAAAAAGTGTCGAATTTTAAACTTGACTCCCGAAAGTTAATTACGGTTTAAACAGCCAAAACACGGTGAATAACGCTAGCGCCACAAAAAAATAAGCTGTTTAGGAAACAACACGTTTTCAAGGCTCCAAATCTTCGTTCAGAAGCCTAAACTTAAATTTAAGGTAATTCAGACGTCTTTAGAAGATGCTGATTTATTACGGATAAAAATTTAAGTAATGTGTTTACAATAAAACCTTGAATTTAACGGTGTACAATAAATTTTTTAATGGCTTCAATTTCAAACTGTTTCCCCGCGAAAAATCCCAAAAACCATGCGATTACCAACAGGCCCGAGCAAAGGACAAATCGGCCGTTAAACTTGGCGGGTTTAACGGAGGAGACAAGGAGAAAAAGGAGAAGAAGAAGAAGTGAATGGCCCCGGGTTTTAGCGTTTTAGAGCGACTGTCCAGCCAGCCGGGGGTGGGTAGGTAATCGTTTTAGGGCAACCAACAGAGAGTGTGGCTCGCGCGTGTGGAACCCCCCGGAAAGTAGGCCTCTTCTTTTCCCGGGAAAATGAGAGAGCGAGTGAGTGAGAGAGAGAGAAGCCAGAGAAATAAAGAAATGAAGATGACACCTGCGCGAGAGTCCTTCTCCCCGCTGGCTAACCCTCTACTTTACGCATGCACCACAAAAGGGATCGGTCTTACGGAGAATTCGACCCTCCAGCTGGGGTTGAACCCTAGGGAAAGGGTCTATCGTACTTTCCTTTGAAGGTGATTTTATTAGAATTACATTCTCTATACTTGCTAAGCCTTAAAAATGAAAAAAGTTTAAAAAATCTAGCAACAATTTAAGAATTACAGGAAAGACCAATTTCACGTGGTTACTAGCGGGTCGCTCTATATATTTCCTCTTATTTAAGGTAATCCGAAGGACAATCTAGCAGAAATCACTTCATTGGATCAGAAACCGCTTTTCTGGGGTGTAATTTTATGAGTTTTGACTTACTGGAAAAAGTGGGTGCCAAACTGACTTCAAAAAGCTAAAAAACGCTGAGCAAGAAAGTGTCTCAAAACTCAAGAAGTCGAGATCCTAACGATTCCAAATCTGAACTTTTGGCTCCGCAGCGAAAACCCAAGGAGCGTCAACTTTCCACCCCTACCACAAAAGGGGATAAATCTACCACCTGCTGGGTGGCGTGGTCGAACCCGGGTATTCTAAACGGGTAGGCTTATCCCCCTCTCCTTTCTCCATGGCGCTGCCCCCTGCGAGAACGGGACTATCCAGAAAACGCTCGGGGCGTTGGTTTTGATTGCTGACAAGTTTGGGGAGCGTGATCTGGTTCTACGACTTGAGCGAAAACGGGAAATCCGTAGCCAGGGGGGGTTGCTTCGAAATTTTGATTTTTTGATAAGCTCATCAAAGGACTTCCTAGTTTTCCGGCAAAACCAGAAACTGTCAGAGATCCCCGTCAAAAATCTCATTACCAGGAAATTGCGAGATGCGCGAGCCCGCGAAAGTGTGCGAGAAGCTGTTTAGAGAAACGTTCCACTCCTTTCACCTTTTTATGACCGTTGTCCGGGGATGCGAGCGGAAATTTCTGGATCCATCACCGGCCAATGAGCGTTTTTTGGAGTTCTTTGTATTTTGGAGGAAGGACTTGGCTAGTTGGAAGAAGGGGAAGTGATATTTTGTGCGAAAATACCCGAAAATATGATAATTTTGCTATCAAACCATTGAACAACTTGATTTCAAGCAGTTTTGCAACATAAAAACGTTGAGAACTCACCATCGCTCCAGTGGATGCCTCGACGCGACGTCTTCAGTTTTAATGTTGACGTAGCCGATTAGGGTGCAGCGGTCCTTCTTTTTCTTGGGATCGGCTTCACGGTAGAGGTTGATGCAGAGATTTTCGACTTTTGGAAGCATGCTACAAGGCAGGTTTAATAAGAATATCACCCCATCACTCTCCCTCTCCCTCTTTTTTCTCTTTCTTTTTCTCTCTCTCTCTCTAGCTCTCCCTATCGCTCTCTCTCTCTCACTTACCTGAAATCAAAGTGCTGTCCCCAAAAACATATTCCCATCAGCGGCTTTGCTGAAGTGCGCGCGTACAGGACCTTGTCCAAGCAGAGCTCACAGAAGTATCTGGAATTTTTCGATTAGGCTGTCGACCTCGCTAGCTGTATTATTAAAAAGTAAAAACGTAAAATAACTCACTTTCTCTTTGCCGGAATTCCCTTTGCTTCGAGGACCCATACTTGCAGTGCGTGCTCTGTTCTCCGCTGCGAGTCCCGACGCGGGTTCATCGTTCGTCGGAGACTGGAAAAGCAGGGATTAGGATAGGAAATTAAGGTAGTTCTTTATAGATAATTTATAGAACAGACTTAAAATCGTGGTTTTAGGAAGCGGAGAAACTGGTTTCCAAGCATTTGAGTCATTGAAAGGCCAATTAATGCCCAATCCAAAGGGGATGAATTAGATTGTCACCACGATTTTTTCGGAAAACGCGGTGATTCGGAAATCAAAAGCACCCGAAAGGACTTATCATGAGAGTCCAGATTTTTTTGTTTCGTCGCCGCAAAGAGTTTGAGTCATTTCCGATAAGGTAGCGGGGAGCCATGAATGGAAATCTTGAGACAGAATAGTCCGTGAGTAGGGCAAAATGGCAGCCAAAGTTTACAAAAATAGCTTAGGTTTTAGCATCCGTAACAATTCGTAAATAGGAAAAATCGAAACGAGCTTTTTGCCGAAAAAACCTCAATTTAGGGCTCTTCGACCACGGTAGAGCGTAAATAGGATAAAATCGAAAATGAATCTGAGTTCTCAACAGGAGGAAAGGCTCGAAACTTCAAAAATCTGCAGTGAGTAAAAACTTTTGGGTTACCCAGCTTGCCAAAGTAGCCATTTTTTGTCGTAAAAGGCTGGCTAAACGTTCCTTCTGCCTCCCGCCCTAACCCTCTAAAGTCAAGCCAATTATCCGCCCCGGGCTTCGGGTTTGGGAGGGTCCACTTTTGTGGGTTCTTTTTAATTGCCGAACCGCCCCTGAGAAGCAGCAAACGGTGGGGGGCTTGCCCCGGATTTCATGGCCCGCCGAAATGTGCACCTGGGTGTGGTGTGTGCATGTGTGGTTTTGTGGGGGTTGGGGCCGGAAATTTACGCCCTCAGGCTCAACGGTTAGGGGGAGACCCTGATTTCCTGGGTTGAATTGGGTGAACGGAACAAAAAAATTCGAAAATTGCGAATTCTGAATGGGTCGGATTTCCTGGCGTAACGCATCATTTGCTAGGGAAATTTCTTAAAAAGCCAATTACCCCGACAGCTAAAACCTCGACAGCGAAAATGCCGACAGGTAAAATACCGACAGCCAAAATCCCGACAGTCAAACTGCGACAGAGAAAATCCCCGACAAACTAAATTCCCGACCAAATCAAAATTTTCTAGATTTTGCCTGTCGCCATTTTAGGTGTCGGGCTTTTGCCCGTCGGAATTATGGCTGTCACGTTATGGTTGTCGGGATTATGAACGGAATTCAGAAATCCTAGTATCTTAAAAGCTCAATGACAAGCTCAAGAATGGGCCGATAGTACAAGGTGCACCCCGGAACAAAAGGTCCAGATTCTGCATCGGACGGGTTGGTGGGAAGAACCCCGCGAAGCTTTTCCACCCCCTTGGGTATGGGAGATCATCGGGTGCGGTGGTCAATACGGACCGTTGCAGGGCCCGAAATGCTTTTTGGAACGACGAGAGAGAGAGAGAGAGAGAGAGACACCAAGAGGTAGAAGATGAACAAATAAACGGCTAGAGAAGACGAAGGAGAAGCCAAGAAGAAGCCCCTGAGGGCTCGAAGGACCGGTCAGCCAGCAGCTAGCAGCCCTTCTCAAAAGCCCACTCAACGGACCGCCCGAGGGGCCTATAGCGGGCAGTAGAAGGAGGAGAAGAAGAAGAACGAGGAGGGCGAAAGGCACTTGGGAATCAGCTGTTGTCCATCTTTTCAGGCGTGTAAGATGAGCTGTAGGTGAGCTGGAGGGGGAGGATGGAACGAAGAGGTTTCGAGTTTTTTTGGAAAATTTGAAAAATGTGAGTTTCGAATCCTCCAACTTAAAGTTATAAGTGAGGATTTCCGGAATGCGCCAGATATATTACAATTTTTGAAAAACTCAAAATATGAGACCCTTGGCGCCCTTTTTTTAGCGTATTTTAAAGGGAGGGCGCCACCAAGAGGTTGGCAACGCCAGAATCCACCAGAGAAATTTTAATTCCGGCCAGGAAATAATCATCTACAAGTACAAATTTAACGTAAAGTTAACTTGGAAATAGAATTTGGCGAATAAGTAACATTTTAAATGGATGGTGCCAGCGAGAAAATCGTCGAAATCAAAGCCATAAGCTCGTTTATAAAGCTTATAAAAAACAGCCGCAAAAATCTGAATTTTAAAGCCCGCTTCAAAAATCAAACTTGTGAAAGTCAGTTTTGGTTAAAAAAGCGAAGCCATATACGCCGGGACGTACGAAAAAGCTCAACTATAGCATATTCGTGTTTTTTCAGGGATAGATCCCTGGAAAGCTGCAATCAGTCGAAAAACCCAAAAACTACACGAATCACCGTTTAAAATCACTACCAGAGGACATGTCCACCCTAAAAATGGTCCTCGGGGCGCACGCAAGGCGGAAAAAGGAGCCATGCGTCGAGCACCTACACAAAAGAAAGGGGGCAGATGACCATTCTGGGCTCGGTTGCTACCGCCTAGCTGGCTATGGGGTCGGTGTGTTTGACTAGCTGGCACCGATCCCACAACAACAATATAATTAGCCTCAAAGGGTAGGAGGGGGAGGGGGAAGGTATAGGGCTGTGTCACGACCGGGGGGCAGCAGGGTAGTCAGTCCAGGTGGCTCCTATACCCACAGGGTCTAGAGGGCTTTATTTGTTTGCTAGAGTTCTCTATCCCTCTCTCCCTCTCTCACTCTCTCGTTCTGTCACAGTGACCACCAGAGCCTTTTTGGCGGACCTGCGGCTTCAGCTTTTCGGCTTCTCCCGTTACCTGGCCGGCTTTAGGTTTACTCAAAGTAAACGAGTTGAGTACGGCTAGATCAATTTTTTCTGGGAAAAAGGGTTTGAGGGTATGGTGAGTCAGGAATTTCGCCAAAAGCAAATATTGAACTCTAGGAATTCTGGATTCAAAAAAAGCTTAAACACCATTTTTGCGTCTCCAAAATACAGTGGCATATCCGGCCTTTCCCACGAAAACCAAATCTTTTCAAAAAATTTGAACACACCAAGGGTGTGGCAGCAAGGGAATGCCTGTAGCCGACATGTGGCTCTGTATCTGCCTCTCTCTCTCTCTCTCTCTCTCTCTCTCACTGCCTCAGTCAGTTATGGGTTGCTCTGTGTGTGTGTTGGAGGGAGGGAAGAAAAAGGAGCAAGAGGTAGAGGAAGGAGGTGGAGAACCGGCCCTCCCCGGGTAATTTGAATCTGCCCCCGCGGACCGCCGGGGATGGTCAGGGCAGCAAAATTTCGGGTTGTAGAGAGGAAAGAGGAAAGTAATGGAAAATATGACACTGTGTAGCAGGAAAGCTAGTACGAGACAATACGAAGTAGAACTACAGGAAATTCACATACTCTAGGCAGTATTCTCTCGAGTGTTACTATCGTAAGGAAATATCTACAGATTTACATGAAATTTGTCGCTAGACAGTACCGACTACACGTAAATACGTTTCCGAATTTAAAGCCAAAGCGTTTGAAGGGAGTATCGTTACTGAATTACCTATCGTAACCAAAAATCCGGAAAAATCAGCTAAAACAATACGAAAAACTAGCGGCTACGCGACAATACGCTGCTAAATTCCCGATAAAACTATACATTGTGAGGAGTATTTCTACGTGATTTCATATCGTAACGGGATGTCGACATAAACACATCGACTACGCAACAATACGTGCCAAATTTCGCGGAGAAACGTACTGCAAACAGGACCTATAAGGAATTGTAACGACCAAAAGAGGCAGCTGGCGAAAATGGAGCATTTTTTAGGGGGTTCAGGGCAGCCGGGTTCGATCCCTCAACCACCACCGTTGGCTGGAAACGGGGCCGATCTGCTCTTATTGTGGGGGATGGTTGGGTGGGGACAGCCGATGGGGATAGTGCTAGAAATTGGGGTAGCAGAGCAATAGCAGATGACCTAGGGCCGGAAATCCACTGGAAATCCCAGCCAGCAAACACAGTCGACAATCCCATGACTAATCGATTTGGCAGGAAACATGGGAGGACAGGTCTGTTTTTGTAATAAAATCGTATCTGTTGGGACGGTAATGCTATAATTACGGTTTTTAGCAAAGTTATAAATTTCAGAGATAGAAAAAATTAAATTAACTTTAATCTTGGCTTACGACAACCTTTAAAAGTCATAAATGATAATCAGTTACTCAATGTTTTTGAATATTAAAATTTTTGGGATATTTTTAACGTTTGCACTCCTCAAAAAATGCTATTAAAATTCACGAAAATTCCAACGGCATACGCGAAAAATTCCTAAAAATGTTCTTTGAATGTTGTATGTCTACAGTAGTTGATAAATTCTTATTACTATTATTATCTGAACTTCTAAGCTCTAAAAATCTGAAACAAAGTCTGGTAAAAATCCGCTACGAAAACCACTGTAGCTCCGAAGAACTGCGATATTTTTATAACAAGCTATGGTAAATCCTAGGGCGCTATTTTTTGCTAACCACGTATATCTGTCTAAACTATACCTATGTACACGAAATCAACGACCCGAAAGCTTTATATAGTTTCCTATTTCCTTTCCTGAGGGCGTAGTAATTACCGCCCCTTGGGGGGGGGGACGCCCCCGTAATTGTCACAGGCTATACGGGCATGTGATGCGCACGGAAGGTAAGGGTCGAAAGTGGCCAAAAGTAGCCTAATGACGGCCCAAATCTGTACATACGCCTACGAGAATATACTAACGTACTTGCCACACCCCAAAAAATGGTAGGCCAATAAACAAGCGGTCTTGACAAATAGCTCTAAAATTGGCAAAAAATTGGGTGGAAGATAGGAATAAGCGGAAATAAAGGCTGTTCGGGTACAGTAATATTCGTTAAATAGGTATCGTAAAACCGCTAAATTTACAAATGTTTCAAGCGGAGTGTATCGGAAAAGCGAAAAATCGATCACACTGGTAGCTGTGCTGTTGTGCCTAGCTCCGTTGTGCCGGGGGGAGGGAAATGGTATCGCATGTCACAACCGGAATTTTCGGGCTGTTCGTTTTAAAGAGATTCAGACAGCTTCAAGCCAATTTTTTGTAATTTTCGCGTC